TGGGAAGGTTGAATCGGTATGACGCGCGAAATTAAGTTTCTGGCCGAGGAACTAGCGTACATCAATCTGGAAAAGATGGAAAGGTAAACAACAGTTACTGCGTAGTGTGAACAAGGTATGAAAAAGGAATGCTTAATTAATGCTATCTTTCGTTTTTGGCGTGGCATTAGTTTCGGTTTTAATGAGTGGTTATGTAAGGGCACATACTGAGCGTCAATACGAAATGTGTATGCTGTAATCGGCGTTGTTTGCGGGTGTTAATGGCAGACTCAATGGTTAGGACATTTGCAAGCAATTTGCGTACAGTAAAAGATGATGTGCTAATGCGGTAGCGTCCGTCTATGTAAAAAAAGACGTGATTATGCAAGGGGAATGCGAAAGTTGGATAATCAGTCTATATATAGATACGCCTAGTGGCATTTTACGCGGTAAAAGAATGAGTTTAGCTACAGTCTATTTTATGAGGGAAGGCGCTGTTAAAAATAATTAGGTAGATAAATAACCAGTAGACTGTAAATATTTTTGAATGTCTGCAAAGGGTTTTGGAATTGTTACCGTCGGACTACAAATGAAAAACGAGGCGACTATGTGCTTCAGTATACGCATTACATAAAACTAGCTACTGAAATATCTTAGTAGGCAGTAGTTGAAATATGTTGGTTGCTTCATATACTGTCTTACGGTAATGCTGCAATGTGCAATAGTGTTAACTGGCAACTGCGATATGCTGACCACTGTGAAGTATTATATTACATTATATTATATTATTAATATATATATTATTATATCACATTATATATATACATATATATATATAATTTAATGATATATATAATAATAATATAATATAATACAATATAATACTTCACAGCGGTCAGCGTATTGCAGTTGCCAGTTAACTCTATTGCACATTGCAGCATTATATATTGCAGCATATTGCAGCATATATATATATATATATATATATATATATATATATTGTTACTTCACAGAAGGTATCACAGCAATGCTAACATATGCAATAGAGCTGATTGATTACTCATATAGTCTGCGGGCCGTAAGTATGAGATCATCGCCACGGCACTTAATATTTGAAAGGGAATATATATATATATTTATTTATATGCTATGTAGCTAAAGAAATGCTTATGTAACCGGATGGCGGGTAATTATCTGAGGATCGTAACTGTACTGAAGTTGTCGCAACGATGCTAACATATTCAGTATAGCTTCCTGACTGCTCATTTAGTCTGGGGTCCATAAGTATGAGATCATCGGCACCGCACTTATTATTTAAAATGGAATGTAATTATATATAAAAATTTATTTATACGCAATACAGCTTAAGGAACCCTGATGTAACCTGATGGCCGGTAATTATCAGAGGATCGCAACTCTAATTAAGTTGTAGCAGCGATGCTAACATATGCAGTAGAGCTGACTGACTGCTCAGTTACTCTGGGGGCCATAAGTATGGCACCATCGCCACTACACTTAATAGTTAAAAGGGAATATATTTATTTTTTTATTTATATGGAAGGGAGGTAAATGGCTGTTAATATAAGCTGGTGGCCGGTATTTATTGCACGATTCCAACGCTACTGAGGATGTCTCAGCGATGCTAAGATATGCGAAAGGGGTCGCCGACTAATCACCTAAGCAGGCCGCACGTAAGTGTTAGTGCTTACTGGCTGCACAGAAGATGGCACAGCAATGCCTGCATATGCGACGGTACTGATTGTCTACTCTAATAAGCTGGCGGGTGGCAAGTACTAGATGTTCCCGACCTCACTGAAGGTATAAAATACGTCCTATCGTAGGCAATGGAGATAACTGACAGCTCATAAGAGCTGGACGCCCGTAATTGTTACATGTTGCCCGGTGCACAGAATGTGTCACAGCATAGCGTTTGGTCCACTGAGCCCTCAATGTTTCCTCAAATCCTTAACGCCTACAGTGCATTTGTATGTTTATTCCTACAACGTCTCTGCTATTGTACTGAAGTCTGTGGTGAGGCCACCAAAACGGTTCTCACGTTGTCATGCAATTCATTTTTCGCAATAATTTTTCTCCCACGGGGCTTCCGTATCCACGTAATACTATTTTGTAGTCAACCGTTGTTCCATAAGGAATAGAGCTACCGGACTGCTTGCATGCACTGGTAGCCAGTAATTATGAGATGTCCGCCGCTAGATAGAATGTGTCACGGCAATGCTTCCGTATGCAATGGAGCTAATGGACTGTATACATAAGCAGGCCGCCGTTAAGCAATGGATGTTCCCGGTTCTGAATAAGAAGTCACAGCGATGCTACCATATGCAGTCAACTTAAAGGACTGCTCCGTTTTGTTCGCCGCTGTGAAGTATCTTACGCTGCTGGCGCAACGGAAAATGTGACAGCAATGCCTCAATGTGCGATGGAGCTAAGTCATCAATGATATAAGGTTGCGCCGGGTTGGTAATACGTAATCCGGACTGCACTTAAGAGGTCCCAGGCATGCTACGATATGCTATAGAGGTAACTATCAACTCATAAAGTGGACGCCAGTAATTTATCGATGTTCCCGATTGCACTTAGAATACCACAGCCATGCTGACATATGCAATGCATGTCACTGACTACTCACATGAGCTCGCCACTCTTAAGAAGAGAAATTGGGTTAGAAAATGTTAACTCACATGCAAAAGACGCACGTATAGTGCTCCTGGTCTGCGGTGTATGCGACACATACCTGATGAAGCCACCGGTTGCATTTGCAGCACATCACCCAGTGAACGGTGTCTCCGTCGGTTCTCGGTCCGTCCTCCGTATCGCAAATGATGCAGGCGTTTTCGTTGTTGTTTGCAGGTTGTATGTTCGCAGCTCTGGCGCGTTTAGTCACGGTTTTGCAAACTGCGGAGGTGACAGTCGGCATGCGTCGGAAGTGCAGGGGGTGCGTTTCGGTTGACAGTTGCGGGGCTTCCATCACCCTAGGTGAAAGCGACTGCTTCCTTTTTGTTGCCTTGGGCCGTGGACGCTGTGGTATAGCGTCCGCCTGGTGGAGGTTGTCAGGGAGACAATTTCCAATGGACACCAGTCTCTGCCTCCGAAGCAAGGTATTTAGGCTGCTTTGGTAGAAATACTCTGCCTCAAGGAATGCCATTGTACCCAGGCTGGTCATGGCAACGGTTAAATCACCGAACAGCCGGTTAGCACGAGACAACTTTTCCTCACGCGTTAACACGACGTGCGTGGAGGCAGATGTGGAGGGCATCGGTTCAACTTCCGCTCGGAAGGTTTCCCCATCAGGGATGGGAAACTGATGGTCCACCATGGACCAACGGCTTCTGTGCATAAGTGGGGTAACGTCTGCGGTTAACATCCCAGCTACTCGCACAATGTGTGCGCATGGCATATCCCATTGCCTAAGGAAACTGCAGTCACAGGCCATCTCATTACCCATAAAAACGGTGTGCTTTCGGTCTCCCTTACCTAATACGTCATACCCAGTGCCGTTAGGCCGTATTGAGGTGACCGTCTCTGAAGAAATGTGCCGCATAAATATGGCAGCAGCATAAGTAGAAAGGCAGGAAACCAACTCCCGCACCTGCCCTGTTGCCGGACTGGTGCGCGATTTCGACATCTGCAATTTGCCCAGTGACGTGGTCCAACGTGATTCCGCATCGCGTGCTCTACGTACAACGGCCTCAAAAAGTTGCAACAGCGATGTCCTTTCGCTTAATCCGCACTTGAGGTGCTTATTCTCGTTTTCCACTCTGTTGGTGGTGAACGCACCCAACGTACGCACATCGCGCAACCGGTGGTATGCCCAGCTTCCTGCGAAGGGCAACCACGTACGACTGAGGTAAGTGAATGCCTCTTTGCTTCTAACCCTTATCGCTCTGAGCAGCATCTTAAATTGCAATTCCGTCTTCGTGTACACCAATCGGTGCATCCACTGCTTGAGCAGAACTCTGTCCGCCTTCTTCACTTTTGACAAACACTGGCATCTGCGTGAAACGTCCCGCAGGAAATGAAACCGGCATAATACTACAGTGCTCCGTGCATATACTGACTTAAATGCCTTCATTTGACCCAGGCACCTATCCATGACTATAGTCTTCGCTGACAAGGTGGTGGGCAACATTTCCGACATGCCCCGAGCAACCTCCAGGTAACTGCATGCTGTCTCGTTGGGCATTAAAGCGTAAAACACGCTTCGACCTACGCCGAAACCGTCAATCACCATACAGTGCCAAAGAATATAACCACCGCAGTTCACCTGATGCGTCGCATCCGCAAGAAGTACGTCGCCGTATTTCGCCGCTATGGAAGTCATTGAAGCAGGAACGAAAAATACGAATCGCACTTGTGACCCATCTCTTTCGACACGCACAGCGCCGTTCTTACTCAACAATTCCGCTACCGCGTTTACATCATTCCCCTTAGATACCCCACCTAAGCGATGGCGGATGGAAAATAGGTCCTGTCGATTCAGTCGTTTGTTATATCTTTCCAGGACATAGTCTCGCAATTCTCCGGTATTACGGAAGGACTGCATTAAATCAAACACTTGCCGCTCCGCCTCGGGAGTCAGACGCCGGTTACCCACGTACAAACTTGGATTCCCCAAGTGAAAATTATGATTATGCACCAGACAATGCGAGCCTATCTCATAGTAAATGCCCTTAGCACTGATGGATATGCTCGCTTTACAACCGAGGCTGACATACCTATGAAACATGAATTACGCATAAAAAACTTTCGCACTTACCGACTGCCACCGTCTCCTTTCCGGGTGCAATGGACACAACGATATTGTACCCATTTGTACCGCATCCCATCGGGTAGCTCTTGACCGGACCTCTTCTTATACGACGCAGCGGTCAAAACGTCATATTTGTAAAAACTGGTCGCCGTCTGAAGTTGAAACCGCTTCAAATCTTCCTCGAATTCACCAAATGCCTTATAATATTGGCGAAAAGCAGCGCGGAAAGCAACAGTATCATCCACAGCCATTGCAGCGAAACCGAAACAACACCTGCGCACTAAAACAAAAACCATCATATACATCGTAAAATAATGCACCACCATTTTCAGTTCCCCTAAATCAATATACCTTTATTACACCCTTATCAGGCCTTAACAACGTACTTCATATCATTCATCCCCATCAGCCAGTACAGCAAACAGTACCGCCCCCAAAATATGATCAGCTGTTTTCGATTAATCCGACGCTCTCCGCTCCGTCTAGGGAAGGGCTAATTTTTGTCATGGCGGGAAAGGGTTTCGCTAACGTTGTCCTCGGTAACATCCAAGTTTGTTTGAGTGGCTGCGGAGTATATCCTTAATTTTTGTGGTATTTAGGTGCGGAGAAATGGTAAATAATACTGTATGTATTTGCTTCGTGAAAACGGATATGATCAATTAAAGTGATGACTACAGGCGTAGTTGAAGTTCTTAGCATAATGGAAAGCAGGCAAATTCTAAATAAACGTGTATTTTAAACGGCTGTTTAGTGGAGCAAAAAAGTGTTAATAGAATTGTTTCAAGTATGTAAAGCTTATGCTTGCAGTGAGTTTCGTGCTTGGATAATTGGTATACATATCTCTTGTCTGATTATTGTATTTTTTGTATTTTTTAAAATCGCGATGAATGTAAGGGAATTTTACAATTATAATAACTTACTAAGTCCCATTTTTTGTACATACCTAATCACAAAGTGACCTATACACATCTTCAAATCCAGTTATGAAAGCAATACCACTCTTGGTCTATCAAGTGGGGTTTGCCAGTCAACAAAGATAAATGCTCAGTCCTTTCTATAGGTGCTGCTGAACCACTGGGCATCTATCACATCGGCGGGCAACTACTCAAGATTGCCACACAGGAAAAGGACCTGGGGACAATAATCTTCTCTGATCTCAAAACGACGCTTGACACGTTAAAGAAAACTGCTGCGGCGAACAGGATGTGGGGCGCCATAAGGAGATCATTCTCTAAACTGACGCCGCAGATATTCAGACTTATCTTCACCTTCCATATCCGTCCCATTCTTGAATTCGGACATCCGGCAATAGCCCCTTTATCTAAACATGAAAGTGACAAGATAGAAAAAATGCAGCCACGCGCCTCGAAATTTGTCCTTGGGCTACGCAACCTCCCTTACCCCACCAGCCTACAGAGGATGAACCTTTTTCCCTTAGATTATCGCCGACGTCGCGGAGACCTCATCTATACCAGACGCATCCTACGAGGAGAACTGGGAAACGAGCTAAGGCAGTTCTTTCAGCTAAGACTTGGCAGCTCGACTCGAGGTCACAGGTGGAAGCTTTTTAAACCGAGGAGGCTCAAAGTCCGCTCAGATGTTGCTCTCTCTACTCGAGTGATTAATGATTGGAACCGACTGCCGGACCCGATTGTCAATGCGCAATCAGAAGCGAGTTTCAAACTTTTGCTAGACATCTTCCTACTGAGTACTCCAGGATCCTGCAGAGCTGATATTACATCCTGAGCCACGCCAGCCAACTCGCCTGCAATCCTTGGAAGATCGGGAAGCAAAAGAGCTGACACGGGACCCCCTTCTGCTCTCTACAACCCAATGAACTCAATAAACTCAATTTAGCCTGGTGTACCGGAACACAAAGTCCCTTCAGGCCGATTTTTCATGTCAAAAATTAGCCACTCTCGCTCCGTCTACGCTCTCGACGCCAACGACATTCTCCCCAGCTAGCTCTCTCCGGGTGCCCTATTTTTGGCATTACGTAACGCTCCTCCTGTCCAATAAACTTCTTCCCTAGTTTATTTTTGTGTCTTCTAACCACTACTTTGGTTGGTCGTCTAGTCGCGTACCGGATATATAGCGCACGATCTACGCGCTGTACCCCCTAACCGTAGCTTCTTTGACAACATGTTCTGGAAGCAGGTTCCAGCGCTCGGTGACTCGACGCGATAAGCGTGTCTCCGCTCTAACTCGATCGGACCGCGGTTTGCCCAGCTTCATGCAATGCCCGCGGAGACCAGATAATCTAGCAGGACTAAATAGTATGGACGAATCAGGGACAACCTTCCCAGTCAACATACGGTAGGTTATGATTAGGTCCCCTCTAATTCTTCGATAGTGCATTGACTGCATCCCCAAACTAAGTAGGCGTTCGGGGTACGTTTGCCCTCGAAATCCCCTGACCAACCTAGTACCGACACGCAATACCCTTTCTAGTGCCATTTTGTCCCGGACAAGGCATGGTGGACAGGCCTGGACGCAATATTCTAGGTGGGGTCGCACAAACGCTGAGAAGAGCTTCACAAACACATCAGCGGTTAGGGTCCCAAAAGAACGACGGATAAACCACAACCTCCGGAACCCTTTACTAGCCGCCTTCCAGTTGTCTCTGGAGTGTAATGTGGGACAGTGGACGACGCCTAGATCAACCTGATGAGTCACGTGAGGAAGTACAGTCCCATCGAGCACATAACTTGTGTAGGAATCAGACGCTCCGATACGCAGCACTGAACACTTTGCCCGGTTTATAGGCAGCAACCACAAGACAGACCATTCCCAGAGTCTATCCAGAGCCCGTTGAAGAGCCATAGGACCTCCAGGGATATCAACAATATTCCAGAGCTTTAGCTCATCTGCGAATAAAAGCGACTGTACCTCAAGCTCCGCCGGCAAGTCATTCACGTAAACTGAGAACAGCAGCGGACCTAGGACAGAGCCTTGCGGAACGCCGCTAAGTAGAGCCTGTCGAAATGAAAGACTGCTTCCCACACGAATCCGCTGTTCCCGTCCAGCCAGAAAAGCTGACACCCCCTGGAGAGCGCGACCAGATATTCCATACGACCTCAACTTCAGTGAGAGTCGCGATGGGGGACAGTGTCAAATGCCTTGGCGAAGTCAATGAACACCACATCCACCGCATGTCCACTGTCTACGGCTTCAGCCCAGCACTCACGAGCTACCAGCAAGTTCGTCTAACACGAAAATCCTTTGCGAAAACCATGTTGCTCGACTCTAAGCAGGTTAAACCTATTTAACTGGTTCTCCATTGTATTTCGTACTAATTTTTCAAGTAACTTAACGACCAGGCTAGTCAAGCTGACAGGCCTGTAATTAGCCGGTAGGTCTTTGTCACCGCACTTGAAAATCGGGCAGACAACAGCCTCTTTCCATTCGGTAGGCAAGATACAGCTGTTGAGTGACTTCTAAAACACATAAGTCAGAGGTCCACTGAGTTCCCCTGCCAATTCTTGCAACAATTTTGGATGAACAGAATCTGGACCAGAAGCCTTAGTTGGGTTCACCTCTTTAAGCAACCGGAGAACTTGGGACTCCGTTACAGGAATTTCATCCAGACAACAGTCCTCATGGACTCCTGGAGCTAACTCTACGTGGCGTATTTGTCTCGCAGACAAAGACGCTTGAGTACCGCTTACCAAGCACGCATGCCTTGTCATAGTCGCTATAGGCATGGGTCCCATCTCCTCGAAGCAATGGTGGAATGGGCGAGTTTGCACCACAGCGTCGTTTAACGTGTGCGAAGAATCTCTTGGGATTTTTCGAAGCAGTATTAGTTAAGCCTTTTTCATACTGAAACCGGGCCAACCTAAGATGTAGCTGCATCGACCACATCTTCACCTTGCGTCAAGTGTTGGAGCACCGCCATGTTTATTGGCGACCCACCGTTGTCGTGTTTCTCGACATAAAAGGTGCCTTCGACTCAGTCGATCGATGTGCCCTTTGGGACTGTCTGCTGAGGAAAGGTGTGCCTGATAAATATGGAAATATTATCAAAGCGATGTGCGCGCATAGTTCGGGCAGGGTGTGAGTTTATGGCAAACTCTCGCCACCCTTCAGCATCACCAGCGGTGCGAGACAAGGATGCCCGCTGTCACCTTTCTTCTTCTACATCGCTATAGACGAAGTCATAGAAACAGCGTTCGCTGGACACGACCTAGAGGGTGTGGAGCTACTTCCTGGTGAGCGACTTCTTGGTTTGGGGTATGCGGACGACTTTGCCCTAATCTGTGACAGCTCCCCAACATGCCAAACAGCAGTGGACCGGTTTGCACTGGCTGTCAATCGTTTTGGGTTATGCTTTGCTCCATCGAAATGCAAAGTACTTCTCCAAGATTGGCAGGGACCCAACCCTGCGCTAACGCTTGGTGGTGATCTGCTAGAAGTCGTTCAAGAATTTAAGTACCTGGGCAGCTATATTAGCGCCCGTGGGATTGAAGATGAGGTTACGAACCATATAGCAGAAGCTCGAGGTGCTTTTGCCAATCTCCGCCACCTGTGGCGCAGACGCGACATTACGCTCGCCCTCAAGTGCAGAGTTTACAACGCAGCCATCCGTTCAACTCTCTATATGGCTGTGAAACCTGGCCCATCAGGTCGACAGACATAAAGAGGCTCGTCACATTCGATCATCGCTGCCTTCGCAGCTTAGCTCATGTCTGGTGGGAACACCGCGTGAGCAATGAGCGTGTTCGACGTCGCCTATTTGGTGCAAGAAGAGCGAGTTAACCGCTCAGCACCATTATATCACGCACCAGGCTCCGATGGCTGGGCCACGTGTTGCGCATGCCAGCACACCGATTCCCGCGACGTGCATTGTTTGCGCGTTGTGGGTGCGGTTGGAAGAGGAGGAGGGGAGGCCAAGTGATGACTTGGTCGAGAGAAATGAAAGCCCTCACTTCGAAGTTGGCGTCGGTTGGTGCATCCCGACTGCCTGGCTGGGGTCCTAAGGACGGTGAACACGTTTGGTTGGACACACTTGCTGATATGGCTAGGAGCCGGCCCCAGTTGCACTTGTGTTGTGAGTTCCTTTGTCCATCCCCCTCCTGTTTAGCATCCATTTCCAATCACGATCTCAATCGTTAGGCATAATATGACTTTCTATCACGGCAGCCAGCTGTTAGCTCTCCGGAACCATGTCCATCCGTTACTTGGGACTCAGCCGGCGTGCCACTGTTTGTTTTTCTTTTCTTGCCTTTTGTATTGCGGCACAATAGCTGAGGTGTTTTCCACTTCCAGCTAACGTGTGTTGATGTTGATGATGGAGATGTAGCTTGCACTCATTTCGAACCAACCGATACTTGTCAAACGTGCTGTTCGGCGGAGCTGTTCGGTAAGCTCGCCAGCATCTAGACCGCTTCTTTAGCAGGCCCTTCCCCGCGGAATCTATCCACGGAGGCTGCGCTTTCGATTCCCTTCTTTTTACCAGTGGGAC